GTGGTCGCTCTTGTGCTGGCTGATGATGACGAGGTCGGGCTCCGGGAGATGCTGTAGGGAGCACACGCATGGGCACTCCTTGTGTGTTGCGGTTGACAGGATCGAGTGAAATATGGTGGAAGGCCCTGTGATCCATGGGTCCATCAAAATTCTGAACGGTCTTGGAGCAATGCCAGGAAGTGACTCGGGCACAATGGGCTCAAAGGTGAGGAGGAAGGAAGCATCCGCATTGAGCTGCTTCACAGTCAACGCCATAGCTCGGAAAAGGTATATAAGAACGAACAAGAACAAGAACGAATGACACTGCAACTCGGCCAGGTTAATATGAGGGTATTGCTACTGAGCAATGGTCTGCCAGAGGAATCTGAACGCAAAAAAGAAAACAAAGCAGAGAGGTCAATTAGATATGGTCCATGACAGCGGGAATGTCTGGAGGGGAGGGCGCGTCGGGACGCAACTCTGGGGATGCGTAGCCGTGAATGATCGGACGTGGAGAAGGGCCTTTAGGGAAACGCGAGGCGATTTCAGGAAACTTTCCCTTGGCCAGATTAGAAACATGGCCCTTGTAACGCCAATTCGCCAGTCCGCCAACGCAAGCACGGCAAAGCTGGCGAGAGGGTCAGAGCATTGTGGTCGGATCTTGAATAGATCAATAGGCTAAGGGCAAGTTAACGCGAGGTGCTCAGACTTCCGGGGGCCCGGCCGTGGAGGATATGACGACCGCTATGTGTGAACGGCCCGGCTACGGGCTGCGTGGAGAGGTCGCCAAGTTCGGTCAAGGTCGGAGGCTGAAACTCTGGAGGCTGTGCCATTTTTTTGGTCTAGAAACTTGAGGGTGCGTCCCTTGCAGACAATTTCTTCGCTCCGGTCCAGTTCAGGCGAAGCGTCTTTAGGATATACCCACCATTCCGTTTCCTTGACCGATGCCACTGGTCAAAAAGCCATCATCACTCGTCGAAGGCTCGAAGCAGTCGAAGCAGACGAGTTTCTATAGAGCTTCTTGGCAACAAAGGTCCATCTGTAAGGTCTGTGCGCTACACCTCGAGGGGCTGATCAACGAGCACTTGTGACAAGTTTGTTTGGGATCTAGAAGATGGTGGGCTTTGATTGGACGAGGTCGAATTCGGACGACGCAGGGCAAAGGAGATCCGGGATGGTTTTCAAGTCGAATCGAGTTGCCAAATGTTAAGATGGCAGCGGGCCGCCGACTTGGGTGCAAAGACAACGGAGATGCTTCCACTGAGGCCTCATGCAGTGCAGGATTGACAGCTGGCTGTTGCGGCTGGAGCAGTTCCGGCTACCCCTTAGGAGGTGGGAGGCAAGGGATGACTGACCCATCGTCATCCAGACCGCGGGAACAAGAGTTTCTAGCGGTGAGTTGGAAATTTCTACACTGACTATAGCTTGAGGCGAAAGACGTCAGTAGGTTGCCATTCTGCCCTAGAAGTGGATGCAGTCTGTAGAAGCCATGGGCTGGTTCTGGTTTTGGCAGAGGGGGCTCCGGAAGCAGGAAAATCGACCGTTTTCAAGAAGCCGAGTCAGGTACGGTTCACAAAGCGTGATGAGCAGTGGGCCCATGGCTCATCTGTCGTCCACATGATGGAGTCTAGAGGTCATACTACAACGGGGGACGGTAGACCTCGTTCGGAGTTTGACGCTGTCGGGGATATCCTGTCCCTTGAAAACGAGACGCCGTGAGTCGAATAGGAGGTCGGATGTATAGGAAGACAGGTTCAAACTGTGTATCGTGTGCATCGGGATGCTGGCGAGGCACAGTAATCCGATGGAAAGCTTACTGGGTTCATTTGACTTGCAATCGAATGTCATCACCCCTAAAGAAGCTTGGCTTGAAGGACAGTGAAAACGTTGCGGCTTCGAGGTTACGACAGCAGTCGTAAACATAGTCGGTGTCACCGACTAGGCGTACTCTTGATTGACCGCCATGTCTCGGAAGACAGGGAGCGAGGCGGCAGATCAGGAGGCTGATGGACGGTTGGGTGAGGGTACCGTGCTAGTGGTAAGAAAAGTGAATCGAAGAAGAAAAAAATTCCAACATGCATGTGATAAGGACCAAAGGAGTGCTTCTCGAACTTGTCTCGGGTTCTCTCACTCCTCACTAGGTTGCTACCAGTCACCCGCTAGAGAATCTTGAGTCTGTAGCACGACAGAAGGCAAGCTTGAGTGGCTGCTGCTGCGGTCCTGCGGGCCATTTCCGCCGACTTCAAGAAATCTCGGACCCGTGCAAGCTCGCCGTATCCTAAGACTAGCGTAGGTTCGCAATAACCCGTACTAAACGTGTAATTTGGGCGAACAAGTCTTTTGACGGGAATGTTCCCTAAGCAAGTTACCTTACTCGCAAGCAATGGAAGTACTTGTGGGAGTGTACGCGGCGCTGTAGTTGAAAGGACTCTCTCTACTCTGACTGTAGCCTTCGTGAATGCTTCTAGAGGTTGGCGTTCAGAAATTTGCGAACGACCACAGTCATTCAAGAAGCAGCACCAGCTCGACAAGACAGGGGGAGATGAAGCTCCAGGTGATATCCTGTAGGTTTTGCTGGTTCTGGTAAAGTCGCGTGGGATTGCTTTGGAGGAGCTTTATTGTCAAAGCTGTCAGCCCTCGCTTGTGGTTGGTTGGCGGTCTCTTATCAGCGGTTGAGCTCGCGTCCAGGACCTTATCCCCCGCACCCTCCATCCTTTCCTCTCTCTCTCTCTCTCCGGTACCAGCTAGGAGGAGCTGAGCAGGACGGGCGGTGACTGTCACCGAAGTGCCAACAGGCCGCTGGGTGCGGTATCAGCTCGTAATTAGGCCCGTTCGTGACTGACTTTTGCGGCGGCAGAGGGGGGCAGAAAGGCGGGGTTTATTCACCGCTTTCTTCATTTTTCTCTCATCAGCGCCAAGCTCGATCTCGTTGCTCTCGGTGACAGTAGTTGGTCCTCTTTGGGGCCATTTCGGCATTCATGAAACCATTCGAACTGCGGCTAATAAGTGCCTCCTAACCCAGCCTGACCAGGTAGCTCCTACTAGGGTAGGTGCTTGAGCGATGCAGCCGCCAGCAGCATAGGGGGAGGCGTTCGTGTAACGTTCCGTGGGCCATCACGAGATGGTGGCCCCGATTTAGTCCGATTTGAGGGTCCCGACTTGCTGTGTAGGTATGGGTACTTGAAGAGAGAAAAAATGCTGTCTGCATGGCACCCGTGCCTAGGTGAAGCATCAATCGATGGAATGACTCTGTAACCGAGTCCACGGGTGAGTCGAGATTCGTGTCTGTCAAACTCGGGGGCCAATCATTGCTTCTTCCCTGAAGAACATTATTGAAAACAAAGGCCAGAAGAAAGCACGACCCAGGCCAAGCAGTGTGATGTCACTTTAGTGCTTCGAGGGAGTATGGCTGAATCAATACCCGCTTTAGCTGCAAGTGCTGTCTACGGTTCCGAAGTGCCAGCCGCCCAGTCGGTCAGGGTCCAGGGGGGGTGTAAGTTGTAAGTGGCAAAAGAGAAGAATGTGGCAGAGGAGAATATGGTCGCGAGTTGGGAGGTTTGAGGAAAAGGTACAATTGGCTGCGGGCTTGTGAGTCGTTGCTCAGAGCTGGTCGAGAGAGGGCTGACTAGCCAAGAGCGATTGTTTTCCGTCCGGATAACTAAGGTATACTGTTTGACAGCCTGCCATTGGTAATCCTGTCTGACTTATTCAAGTAAGCTGATACATGGCCCCAGGGGAGGTAAAAAGGCCGAGAGAGATGGTAGCGCAAAGGCGGCATCTGAACAAGGCTTTTTGGGCCTCTGGCCGAGGAGCTCTCTCAGGTATTTCTTAAGCAGGCGCCACCTCGGTGAAAAGCCGTGGTTTCGGGATGCAGCTGGCAGCTGATGCTTATTTCCAAAGAGGTTGGTTTGGCGAGGGAAGACGAAAGTGGATCAAGTCAGCCTGCAGGCTTAATTTTTTTCCTTCTGATCTCAACATCGGATTCTGGTGTCGGCCGGCCGGATGGCTTTGGGAGTTGAATTTTTCTCGCCTTTCCTTTGGTTGAACTTTTTTTTTTCGTTGCTGGATAGAATCTGCCGATTGTTGATAGGTCGAGGTGAAGAGGATGCAAGGCGAAGAACAGGAGGGTCCTCGCGCCGAATGTGGGGACCTTCCCTGGCAATTTCAATACGTACCCCCCTTGTCTGCGCAACAGCTTTGCTCATCGCGGCATGGGGCGGAAGGAGAAAAAAAAAGAGCAAAAACATAGGTTCCTATCTACTATGTAGGTACCTGCTCGTACCTGCTCGATGAGGAAGTATTCGTACGTATTTCTGACCTTATCCGTTATGACTTTTTTACCATGTCTGCAGGATCAAAATTCGCTTTCTCTGCCTTGACATCCAAATCCCTGGAAGCTTCGTTGCATCTACACTAGGCATGAAAGGACAAGGTAGCTGTGGATAGGCAGGTTGACGTGCTGAAGAGCTCCCTGGGCCCTGCGTATTCCTTGTGTAATACATAGCGGCAATGGAGCTGCATCGCAGAAGACGACAAAAGAAGGGTGTTACTTACAGAGCAAGAGAGAGGAGGGGGGAAAAATTGATTGTTGCAGATATCCACATCCATCTTAACCTTCACCGTACCGATTACACACCAGGCGTGCTGCATGTTTCCGTACTCCCTACAGATTCTTTGTCTTCTTCTCTTTCTCACTCTTCCCAAGCTCTGTCCTAATCCCCACCCCATCAAGCCCGCCTTCCCTCTCCGCTTGTGGAGCAGACGATTCGCGCCAACGTCCACGGGTCGGGGGGTAAGGTCTCCACCGATGCGTGCTTTGGAGGCGCTGCAGACGCTACAGATGCCACGGACTTGCTGCAGCTCCAGGGTTCACCTTTGCAAGAAAATACTTCCAACTTGTCGAGGCAAGGCAAGGGCCCTGCATGTAGTGTACGGAGTAGGTAGTGTATGATGTGGGCGGTGCCTTGGTGCTTCGGGCTGCCTGATGCCGACCCCTCCGCTGGCCCGTGTCCCCGTTCCCAATGCCCAACGGCAGCCCCGATCATGCTTCTCCTTGTAGAAGGACCGTTCATCGCTTTTATTCCGGAGATTTGGTCTGGGCCTGCTCATCTGGCCACGGCAATGCAATCGCAAAGCGGTAAAATTAGCTCTTGAACTGATCAAACGAAGCAATGAACCAAAAAGTGATACTGTTCATGTTTATGCGCAAAGAGTAGGTAGCTATGCTGGGCTGCGTTGTGCACATTATTCGCCAAGCCAAAAAGCACGACGGAAAAGAGCTCAGAATAGGTAGGTACCGTACCGTATGGATAGTCAAAAGAAAGCCTCGCTTCGCTTAGAGGGTACACGCGCAATGCTATCCGCACTTGCGGGTACAGCGTATCTCTGAAGTCTGTGATTGCCCAGGAAGCTACGAAGACAGAGTGACAGAGTTGAGTACACTACAGTGCTCCGTACACCATCCGGGGCCCCTCCCCGTTAGCTGGGATGTCAACGTGACGACCAGCGGGGATCCAAGCAGCGGGCAGACGTCGACCGAGGTCAGGACCACGTCCGCCCAGTAAGCGGAGGCGAGAATGAACCAGGGGTCCAGCTCCGCTATGCTGCGGGAGGAGGAGGAGTATCTAGGTAGGAGAAGTGAGATGGGCGAATGCAAGCTGCCACCACGCCGCAGCAAGGCAAGGCAAGACGCAAGACATGCGAGCAGACAAGAAGCCATTCGCCTTGGCCTCGGAGCTTGACTCTGTGAAGCATCCTGTTGGCATAGGAGTACTCGAGGACAAAGTAAGGTAGGTGTCCGTATGGAAGGCATGATTGTGCTTCCAAGTTCGGATCATGGAGCGACGACGGGAGTTGGCAACGGTTGAAGGGTGGGGCGAGCAAGGCGAAGAACTCAGAGTAGTCAAGCTTGGGGCCCGTGGTGAGTTGGTGACAGACTTTGCGAGTCACTTCCCTGTTGCCAGCCCTGAGCGTCGTGGGTAAGAAGGTACGACCGGGAAGGAAAAAGGAAAAGAAAGAGGCAGGCACAGGCAAGCTTGCTCAACTTTCAAGAGCTCCCCTGTGATGCGGCAAGGACCTCTTTCCACTGTCAACCACTCGCAAGCTCCGAAAAGAAAGAGCAAAGCAAAGCAGCCCACTTCCTGCCCTGTTCCCACCCCACCCCCCTCCTTCTCTCCTTCCCCTTGCTGTTGCTCTCGCTCTTGCTCTTGCTCTTGCTATTGCTCTTGCTGTTGCTGCTCCTCCTCCCCGCTACCTGCTCCTGCTCCTGCTCGTCCACCACAGGCTGTCAATTGCTTCCCTGTCACACACCCTCCTTCTCAATTCCTCGACCTCATCCTCCCCCTCCTCTTTCCTCCGCCATGCAAGTCCTCCACCCGATTGTCTCGACTCGAATCTTGCCTGGTTCTGCATCCACGCCCCCTGCCTCGTTTTCATCCTCCTGCCCTCCTTTTCCCCTTCTTCTTTCATCCCCTCTTCCCACAGACCCTGGGGTCAACCAAGCCAATCCAATCCACTAGACACACTCGATCCCCCATCGAGTCATTGATCTCTTCCACCAACGCCAACCAATTGTCGGCTCTTGACATCGTCGGCGGGTCGACTTGCCGACCTTTTCCCCTACCTTACAGTACGCATAGGTACGTCTTGTTCCTTCCCCTGCGCTTTTCGACTGAAATGCTCTCCATCCATCCCACTGCTGACCCCCCGAGCTTTGGGGTTACCCTCCTGTCATTGGAAGATGACGCCGTAGCCCGGTGGTACCTTGAATGAGCACCAAGCTGGTGTCGTTATACAGTAGCTCTGCCGAATCTTTCAAGCACCCAAACCCAAGCAACAGCGGAAGCGGCAGCGGTAGCAACAGCAAAAGCAGAAACAGAGACTCGCGGTCCCACGGGCGTCAACTGGTTATGGCTGCCGCCATTCTCGGACAAGTCAGGCACCTCGTGGTGCAATCTTCTTCATCCAACAAAGAGAAGAGGCGGAATGACTGACTCGAGAAGAAACATCTTGTTACTCGTCTCTCGGAGCAATACGTTTAGCCCATCGGACATGTTTCCAGGTTCAACAGCCCAGCCCAATGAGCCCAGTGTCTTGAAAAGCTCGGCCTCGGCGACCAGCCGTGTGTCACTTGCCATGCAACGAGCTGGCGAAGCCGACTAGATCCTTCTGAAGCTGGCGGTGATGAAGCTTCAAAGCCTCTGCTTGGCTGATCACTTACACCATCTCGCGTCACCGTACCGACCGCCGCCGCCGCCCCTCAGAACAGTGCTCGTCTAGCAGCGGCAGATGGTAAAAAATGTTGATCACTCGTAGCTGACAGTCGGGCGACTGGTGACATTGACGCCGTCCGCCACGGGCCCAACCTTGAGGTGGACTTAGGCTCACCTAACCATGCGACGAATACCAAGTCTTACCTCACAGCTTGTCAGCTGTTCACCTCTGTCGCTCCCCAAACTGACTACTTCCTTGCTCCTTGTACCTTGCGGCCACACCCTCGCTCGTCCGTCTCCTTGTTCGCGGCTGATAATATCCCTTTTCATCTGCATCTTTCATCACATCTGCTTCAGGTGTGCTGTATCCGTAGAAGCAAGCCCAGAAGCAGCATAGGCCCAGGCACAGAAAAGGTACGAGCGCGCAACTCAATTATCGTGGCAACACTTTCGGCGTGCGAAGCAAGCAAGGTAGGTAGGTAGCTAGAAGCCTTTCCTACAACATTGGTAGCCGTAGATCGGATTGGAGCTGTATTCGTCGGCGGCTTTTGGATCTTGTCTTGCTTTCGTCGATTCAGCCATTGCTTACCTACCTTACCTAGGTACTCTCTACTGTCCAAGGCTAAGGCAGAGTAAGTACATGAACGAGTGAGAGAAGAACAGGCAAGGTTTTACCAGACTCCGAACCAAGCTCCCTCCTTGCTCACACACCTTGCTATCATCCGTCCGTACTTCTTTTGCCTAGCCGTGTAAGTAGGTACTCATTTGGCTACAGATCATGCTGCGTAATAACTGGCCTTATGTGACTGGGCTGCGACCATGATGTACCTGGGTGAGCAAGGTAAGGCAAGGCAAGGTAGCTTGTCCTGACCTGACCTGACCTGGACCTGCCCTGGGTACCTTCCATGAGATACCCACCAGACCGAGCCACACCCCTACCTAGCCCGTCCAGTACCTCTCTTTTCCCCATTACCGCTACTTACTGCTTTCGGTCAACTTCCCTTCTGCCCCCAAAATCAGGTTCCTTCTCTTCCTCTTCCTCCCCGTCCTTTCCTCCCCCTCCATTACACCTTGTTCTTCGAAACACTCTTTGTAACACGCCTCAAGACGAGAGCTTCCAGAGCTCTAGACTCTTGCTCACCAAATATCGCAGCCTTTTGTCGAACCGTCAAATGCTCAAGCTCCAACATATTCAGTCGCCTTCAATTGACCTCGCTTCGCGATACGCTACGACAGTAACAGCACTTATCGCTCCTCACCCCGCTCAGTATCGATACCAGCCATCAAGCGCATGGTGGGGTCAAGATGCCGCCCAGATCTTCTCTCACGTCTTCTTTTTCAATCACCGACTCCAACAATGAGGTCGTCTGTCCTCTGCGGAATCAGGATGGATCTAGCTGTAGGAAAAGATGCATCGGTGTAAGTCTCATTGTGCTGCCTGCATTGCCGCATTGCTCCCTCACGACGCCCTCTTCGCCACAAGCAGACCAACACTGCCCCCGTCTGCGCTGCTGCACCTCTCTACTTGGACCCAGTGCACAGAGAGAGCTTTGATTACTACAGCGAAAAATCCACTCGACCAAGGGAAAAACGAGAACGCTGCTCTGACACTTGATAAATTCCTTAGGAAAAACGATATCGCTCCATGCAAGAACACATTCGCCGCGCTCATCCAGAACACTACATTTCGAAGCTCCCAGCGACCGAGGAAAGCTTCATGCTCATGATCAACACTCCTCCATCCGAACGTCCAATGCAGCAAAGCGCAACTTCTGTTCCCCAGGGTTCGTCCCTCTCAATCCAGGGCTATCCCCCAAAGATTGACCATCTTCAAGGCTTCAATCACGACCATCACATGTATGATAACAGTAACCCGGGCACGCCTCGAACCATGGACGACCACGCCGTTGGTTCCATGCTCCCCGCTGCCAGTGCTGCTGCGGCGCTGGCTCAGCTCCACGGTCACAAAGTCGAACCCGAATGGGAGGAAATGGTGAGTTAGAACATCCTCCCCTGACTGACTTACAAACTCGAACCACGATTGCTAATCAAATGTGCGCTACTAGGGTTGGCACTCAGACACGGAGGGACGCCGCATTCCAAGGACATCAATTGAGCTGCCTCCGCTGCACTTGACGAATAACGACATTACTAGCGAGCCATTTCCAGCTATGAACTCTAGTCGGCCACGGGATATTCTGCCGTCAATTCTGGCGAATTCGCCCCCCGGTCGCTCTTCAACATTACCCCCAATCCAACGGCCTGCTGTAGGACCTGCCCGACCAAGGAAGCAGTCCGTCACCAAGAGAGGCCGAGAGGCGCACCACAAGAAGCAGAAGTCTCGCGGCTCGGCAGCAGACTGGCTTCGGCGGATCCAAAACGACGAACGGCTTAGACCAGGTAACAATGACCGTAAGGCGTTATCGGCTGAACCTTCTGCAGACTATGGGAAGAGATGGGAAGATCTCATCGATGCCGCCGATCAAGCTGCATCAGCTGCCGGCGACATCGATGAGGATAGGACTCCAGTAAGAAGCTTTCATGCGCTCGCATCTTCACATTCTCTGACCTTTATCCAGATGCCTCAATCACCAGTTTCTATTCACCGGGCTTCTTTGCCGCCATTCCAGCACCACGGATTTCCATCAGCGACAGCTGGAGGGAACTATCAAGCCTCGCCATTGCAGCAGGCCTTGACCCCGCCATCCTACAGCCAGGACACAATTGACCCATTCCCGTCGGTTGAAAGCGGTGAAAGCGGGGAGAACTTCCACATCGAGTCGCGAGGCCTATCGGATTCATCACCAAGTTATTCTTCTCAGAATACCCAGATCTACTGCGCAGCCTGTCAGAGCGTTTCACTTCTCAAGGACTCATATGCCTGCACAGAATGCATCTGCGGTCTGTGCCAGGCGTGTGTCGACGTTCTCATGGCAGAGCAGGGGGCTCGCCGCAAATGCCCCCGTTGCGCAACAATCGGCGGCCGGTTCAAGCCGTTCCAGCTTGACATCCGGTGATTATTATGTCTTGTCAACGACCATCATGCATACGTTACGCACAAATATTGGAGCTCTGAGGCCCACAAATTGCATTTGAAATCACACACGGCGTCTTGGATTGGGCCAATGCGCATATACAGCATCAAAGCTTGGCATAAGGATTCACCGCATCGATAATACCCCCGGCGTTGCAACTTCGCGAGAGCTTAGACAGAGAGCTTTTCACGAGCCGGTTTCTCCACATTCTTTACATTATTATACGGACTAGTGACTCGTGACAGTCCTGGATAGGTGTGGTTCTCTCTTTTTTCTTGATGCTACAGGCAGAGTATGGGATATCAAAACGATTACAGGATTAAGGGTCGGCTTGCACGTCGTTATGATCTTGCTTTTCCTTTCTTTTTTTTCTTTTTTTTTTTTTTTTTTTGGCTTATTGATAATTTGTTCTGGGTGGGTACAGGCAAACTGGTTTTTTAGGAGTACTCCATTGGTTTATAGATGCCAATCATGAATTTAAATCAATCTAAGCTATAACATCAAATTTTTGGATCATGGGTATCATTCAAAACTCGTCTTTGTCACTAATGTATACGACAAGCAAAATTGGATGGGCTCATCATCTTCTCGAGTCCTTCTCCTTTTCTTTCTTCAAGAGCAAATCGCGCATGGCGGCTCTAGCGTTGCGGCTACCGCCCAGCTTCGGACCCTTGAGGACTTCTTCATCGGCCTTGCGAGCCCCGGCGCGAGCCGCCGGCGCTGCCGTCTTCTTCTTTTGTTGGCGCTGGACCATGGCGTCCATGAACTCGCGCCGGAATTCCTCGGCGATGCGGTCGTCTGCGTCGCCGTCGCCTTCGTTTTGGGGTTCCTGTGGTTTTGGTACATCGTAGACGTCGACTAAGGTTTCCGGATTAGCATGTGCTTGTTGGCCCCATTGAAGGAGATGGTGCAAAACTCACGTCTGTTCTCGCGCAGAATCTCCTCGACGAGCTGGTCGCGTTTGATGTCGTCGCTGGTGCGCCTGTTCCTGGGCCGCCAGGGTTTACCGTCCCTGCCGAGGCGGGGTTTCTTGGCTCGCCGGCCGCTGGTATCGTCGTCGACGGATTCGCCTAGGAGGCGGCGGGCTGCCTTTTCCGTCATGGCTTGGTTCCGGGCGCGGACTTCGTCGCCGAGGTCGACTTCCATTAGTTTCCCTTGCATGATGGGGTGGTTTTTGGGGTCTGGAAGTTCGGCTGGTCCGGCGGAGGGTGCTGTTGTTGACGGATTCGTTACGACGGTGGCGGCTTGGTGTTGGGAGGAGGTTGGAAGTTCGGATTGTGGTGGGGGGTTGCGGTTAGAGAGGTGCGATTCTATGTATTCCATCCTTGCTTGATCAGCCTCTGGCGTCGGGATGGAAAGGAAGGATGAGAATTGGAGCTTCCCTGGGGGGGTTATACATACATGTGTTTGTTGACGATTGTAGTCGCTGCTGCGCCGGTCTGCGGCGCGAAGCGCTTTGCGATGAGGGGGTCGTCGTCTGGGGCTTGTGCTGGGACGGAAACCAGTGCGCGCGATGATGATGATAGGCTCATTGGGTCTGTATCGTCTCCTCCGGCGCCGGCGAGGGCGGTTGTGCCTCGCGCAGAGAAGCCTACGCCATTGAGTCGCTTCCGAGCGCGGTGGCGGAGGGCGGAGGGGATGTGTGCTTCGGGGCCCTCGTCGGCGGTGGTTTCCGTGGCTGGTGCAGATGTCGTGGTGTTTCCTGCTGTCGATGTTGATTTCGAGGCTGCGGCGGTGTCGTCGTCATCGGCGGCGGGCGATGCGGCGCGTTGGCGGAGGCCTGCTTTGCGCTTCTTGTTTGCGCGGAAGAGGATCGGGGCCGGGGCCGGAGCCGCGTCTGTGGTTGGGGTTTCGTCGGCGGGTGGCGCCATGCTGGAGTTGAAGTGAGCGCCGGGGCGCGCTGGTACTGGTTGTCTGTGCGCTGGATTTAAAACTCGGCGGGTTGTCCTGGGTGCGACGTTTTTGGACGTTGATTTCGAGGATGTGAAGATAGGTGGATGTGTGTGTTGTGAATCGGAACGTGGACAGAAGGCGCAAATTCGCCTGGGCGATTGAGGCCGCGCCAGGAAACTCCACCTTGCGGGATGCCGAGGATTAGCCTATCGATAATGGACTGGACAAGGGGGGGTCAGGCATGTAAGTGCAACCCACTGGCATGGATGTCATCGGTGTGACGGTGTCAGCGACCCCCACCAGGTTGGTTCCCGCTTTTTGTCTTTGCCCACGGCAAGCATGTCGCAAGAAGCTCGAGGGGGAGCTCCGAGCTACTTTTAACCTCTGTGCATCCTCACTCTCTGAGGCCTTGCAACTTCATCTACAGTCGTTGAAAATCGGATCGCAAGTCAACATGGTGAAGAGGGTATGCAATTTCTCCACTGACAGGATTTTAGACATACTGAAGAGAAATTAGATATACTTTCTGGCCCATGGCGGTCAAGTGCAAGGTACGTTTCTTGCAGCCCCTCCCTTACCCTCCACATGAGCTCCGAGCTTTTATCTGGATAAGAAGGGAGGGGTGTGAACTTGTGATAAGTGACTTTTTTATTTCGGAACACACTGACGTCACAAATTCAGGTGTCGGATTCCGGTATGTGATGGGATTTTCCGACAACACGGTTTTTCAATTTTGTGTGGACCAGTTGGGTGTCAATTGAATTGGCGATATTCACCTCTGTAAGAGTATGATACTGAGGAAGCGATGCGGTTGACAGGTACTTTACGCAGAGGAGAGCCACAGAGTATGGCCTCACGGGATGGTGTCGCAACACTGATAACAACAAGGTGAGCTTTGGGTACTTTTTTTTAAAAAATCATTTCCAGGAGTCATTGATCGACTTGGGATTTGACGAGGAATTGCGCTTCTGAGAAACCTGGCTGCTGACTCGGCTGGGGCATAGGTTGAGGGAGAGGCGCAAGGTGATGAGGATGCGCTGAAGAAGCTGCTTAAGGACATTGACGAGGGACCGAGATCCGCCAGGGTTGTCAAGCTTGACCAGGAGGAGAGAGATCTTGTTCAGGACGAAAAGGACTTTGCAGTTCGGCGATGAGTTGTCGCTTGAGTGACTTCTGTTTGAAGAACAACATTAGTAAGGAGACCGAGATTGAGAGGGGTAGGTGGTGAAATATTATCGCCATGACTGCGTCTTAACAACTTTCTTTGCCTGGGGAGGACCTTGCTTGCCCAGTAACACGATAAGCATATCTCGATGACAGTAGACTTGATAGAGTACCCAATATACTCACGGGGAATGTTTGACTTGAGCAACATGTTCTGCTTCTTGATCAGATAGAACAAGGAAAGACTGGTATGCTACAAGCCAAGCCCACGTCCCCCCTCTCAATTTGCTTTAGTATCAAGACCGTTGGAACACGCGAAGGCAGAGAAACCCAATTACCATGTACCAACATCATTATAGCTATATTGCGTGAAGGAATAAGACCTCCGCAAGTTTTCAGATCAGCGTTCTCTACCTCTAAGAGAGTGCTTTCCTTCTGGGTCATGACCTTGCGGAACACCAATGGCTGCGTTGCCGCCCCCTGGGAGACTGTAAAGATGATAGGATGACAGAGCTGATACAAAAAGGGTGCAAGATGCGAGATGGTTCAAGTTACTACAACTTCAGGTCAAGGTTCAGGTTGTTGTGCATTGTTTTCTTCAGCAGCTTGGCGTTCGTGTCACCTTGACCTCTGGTTATGTTGCACTTCTTCAGGAACTCCTTCACCAGGGCCTCGTCCCTTGCGGTCGGTATCAGTGAGCCCCCAAGTGCGTTGACTACACCAGTCCGTCGGCGCCTTTACACCTCCAGCATTGTCTCATGGGTATTACCGCTAAGTCTTACGGAATGCATGCTAGACGCTGGAAAAAGACGAACATCTCATGGATTTATGACCTCGTCTTCCACCTAAGCCAGCTTGACGCGAGCCCGCGGTATGCGCCGCGCGATTGCTTCCAGCACTGGTTTCTTGGCTGTGGGAGGACTGACCGGCGACGTCTTCGCACAAACCGCAACCTTGCCACCACCGCGCATCAACTCAATTAAAATGTCGAGCGACGAACACACCTCATCGGTTCAGCATTGTTGCCCAGTGTGTTTCCTGTCAAAGCGATGCTTTACAGAACAACAATAACGCGATGCTTTTTTACCGGAAGCTACAAAGACATTAGGACTTACCCTAATATAAAAAGGCCCCAAGATTCGACATCTCCTGTCCTGATAAACACAACGACAATTGGCGATACTGGTTTCCGCCCAGAAGAAGTACGCGCCAACAGAGACTTTAGCGGTGTGCCCCTCTATGATACCCCGGGGGCCATTCGAACGTTGCGAACATCACCAAGTCACCTCAAACTACATCGGCCCGTCAGCGTTGCTATTCCTTCGACTCTGCCGCGTAAGTATTATCCCTAGGCTTTGAGGAAGACACTACAGACACTAGAGAAAGGCCAAGATTGCTCGGAACAAGATTGGCCATATGAGGTTTCCCGAGAGCGATTATCACGAGCCCACCGCCTGGTCGAAGCCGACCGCAAAAGGAGGTCGCGGCGTGAACACTTCCTACGTTACTAACTTCAAAAACGTCTACAAAGACCTGCTATGGTTGCTCCCGATCTTATCTATTAGCTTCATGCCCAACTTCTTATTTTTAGCTTTTATGGGAGCACGGGAGGTATCTAATATGTGGCGGGACATGCTCAATTGATAACTTGAAACTGCTGAGCTGATTCCTCAAAAGTCTTACGATGAGCCAGTCCCTGCACAAGCTTTCTGGTATTCCCTTCCATTTCATTCCGGAGGGGTGTGAAATCAACCCGCAATAAGAGCCATCAATACTTTGGTGCTCACGTCAAGTATTTTGTATCTTGACACTGTTATCTTACATGGCCTTGCTCACGCCAAAATGATGCTCGCCTTTTGCGACACTATATATATGCCTCGTGGCATCTTCTTCAGTCACCGGGTCTAGAAGCTGCGACGATAAACAGGAGTCAAGTCTCGAGGGATTCAAACCCCTCGGGGATTCATATATTCTATCCAAAACACCAAAAACGAAAGATCGCTAAACGCCTCTACCCCTTCGCTTAATAACAGGCTTCCTCACAGCCCCATGTGTAACAATCTTCTTCCCCGCCGCCGCCGCCGCCGCACTCCCACCAGTCCTCCTCCTCTCCAACCTCTCCTTCTCCGCTTCCACCCGGTCCGCCTCTCTCTTCTTATCCTCGGCCATCTTAGCCTCGATCTCCATTTTGCGGTTAAACTCCGTCTCGGTAATGCGCTTGTCCCGGACGGAATACCCCTTCTCCTTAACAGAGTAAAACACGCCGCCCAAATCGGCGAGCCAGTGCGGGTCCACCGCCGTGACGGTCGACACGTACACTTTCGATGTCAGGATGAGCTCGTGGTAGACGACGTAGTCGGGCGGGTGGCCCGCGTACAGCGCCGACGTCGGGTGCAGCTGGACGCCGAGGTTGGTCCGCAGATTGATGTACTCCCCGGAACCCTTGTACTTGGCCGCCTGGTGGTAGTAGCCGCTGCAGATGCACTTGCGGATGACGTCCCAGTCCATGCCGCAGCTCAGCATCTCCATCTTTTGCATCTTCATGATGTCGAGCAGCTGGTCGCGGATCTCCTTTGCGCGGCGCAGCGACTTGGGGTGCAAGAAGTGCTTGATGCACCACCCATCTGAGCAGCCGTTGGACCGCCATGCCGAGTACACCTGGAGGTACGTCAGGTGGTCCGACTCGTGGACCCAAAACTTTTCGCGCTGGGCATCCGCCTCATCCTGGCGCTCTTTGGGTCGGTAAAAGACGTTGGGGACGGAGAGCATGGACACAATGGTGATCATCTCCTCGCTGCAGCCGTATTCCTCGGCCGTGATGAGGAGCTTGGAGAGGGACGGATCCATTGGGAACGCGCTCATCTTTCGACCGAGCGTGGTCAGCTCTCCCAAATTGTCCAAGGCGCCCAGGGCCCACAGATCGAACATTGACGTTGTGATGGTGTCCTGTGGTGGGGGATCCATGAAGTCGAAATCTAGTAGATCCTTGACGCCCAGGGACTTGAGCATGAGTACCGTGTTGCTCAGATTCGTACGCTGGATTTCGGGAATCGTCTGCATGTAGAGCTCCTCTTTGAACGCCTTCTCCGTGAACAGTCGGAAAGCCTTTCCAGGTCCTGTTCGACCGGCACGTCCTGATCGTTGCGACGCGTTTGCTTGGGAGATTGGCGTGATCTGAAGAGTGTCCATACCCATCTTTGGGTTGTACACCTTCATCTTGCTGTACCCAGCATCCACCACGTATTTGATACCGTCGACCGTCAAACTCGTCTCGGCGATATTCGTCGCAACAATGCACTTACGCACACCTGGCGCCGCGCGGTCGAAAATCTTTGCTTGCAAGTCTGCCGGCATCTGACTGTAAATGGGCAAGATGCTTAGCTTCGGGGGATCGTTGAGAGCATCGAGACGTTTCTGGATCAGCTCGCAGGTGACCTCGATATCTTCTTGTCCCGTCATGAATACCAAGATGTCGCCCTGGTCCATGGACACGTGGATGGCCAGGACCTGCTGAACCGCCTGATCCACGTAGTCCTCGACCGGTGACCTGTGGAACATGACATCGACGGGGAAAGTTCGGCCTGGGATGATGAACTCCGGCGCTCCACCGTAAAAGTCGGAGAAGCGCTTCGCATTCATCGTCGCAGACGTGACGATGAGCTTCAGATCTCGCCGTCGCTGGAGAATCTTTTTGAACAGACCCATGAGGATATCCGTGTTGAGAGCTCTCTCGTGGGCTTCGTCCATGATGACGCACGAGTACCTGTCGAGATCAGGCTCGTTGAGCGACTCGCGCAACAAGACACCGTCCGTCATGTACTTGATGACGGTGTCTTTGCTGGTACAATCTTCAAAACGAATCGCGTAGCCCACCGTGCTGCCCAGCTTGACTTCCATCTCCTCAGAGACACGCTTGGCGACACTCATCGCGGCCACACGCCTCGGCTGCGTGCACCCAATCATGCCCGACTTTCCAAACCCGTCCTCGTAAAGGAACTGCGTCAGCTGCGTCGTCTTGCCGGATCCCGTCTCGCCCACCACGATGATGACTTGGTTCTCCCGGATGACACGCATCAAGTCCTCCCGAACGGCAAACGCAGGTAGGTATTGCCTCTGCTCGCGCAACGTCTTGCTCCGACTGAAATCACTGCTGCCCCCATCATCCTTCTTCATGTGGTCGCTGAATTTGTTGCTGTTCTCGTTCGTCTCCTCCTTCTCTCCTTCCTTCTTCGCATCGTTCTCCGACGCCACAGGCAACGCGCTGTCGCCGTCGTCCTCCTTCACACCCATCAAGTTTCCCAAAGCCGTTCCAGCCATGCTCGTAGCCTCCTGCGCCTGCCGCTGCCGTTCCCGCTGCTGGCGTGACTCCTTCACCACCTTGCTTCCCTTCCGACTAAACACAGCCATGTCGCTCTGGTAGTCGCGGACAGCCGGCACGGGTTCCAGCTGCTTTGTGAAGATGGTTCGTCCATCGAGGAACGGAGGCCGCAGATCGTGCACCAAAAGGTGGACTCTCGTCGCCTCCTCGTCGTCGAAATCGGCACCCATATCCCTCCTCTGCGCGACACCCGAGACGAGCATGCGATTCGTCTCCCACGCGTCGTTTTCCCTCTGCCTCTGCTCCCTGCGCGCGTCGAAGCGCCCCGTCATCTTCTCGGCCTTAACCGCCTCCTGCTTCTCGGCCTCCCATGATGAGTACGAGGCGAAAGGATTGTGTGTGTCGTCGCCGAAGGTGTGGCCGCCAAACTCGTCTCCCATGTACCAGTCGCGATCCAGCGCTTTCGAGTCTTCGTCGGTGGGTTCGGGGACGTCTCTTGCCGGTGTCTCGGCGGCGCGGGCGTCGCGCGGTGTCGAGCGGCCCGAATCTTGGAATCGCCCTCCGTCTATCCTCCGGCGCTTGAAGCTGGGCCCTGATCCATCTCTGTTGTCGTACATTTTGTGATTCCTGTGATGGCGCAATTCGTCGCCTTGGCGTTTGCTGCTCTTGGCGTGATTATTATCTTCGTTGACCCGTCGCCGGAGTAGAGTTTCCTTGGATGTGTGAGGCCCAGCGTGCGTATGTGATGGATTCAATTTCGAGTATCGGAAATGTAGTGAGGCATGCAGTTTAGAATTGCATGTAGGCAGGCAACCCCAAGTAAACAAAGCTTGAGAAATGGGGCCGCACCTTGCCAGACGGTTTAAACGGGTCTGGCTCTCTTATGTGTATATCCATAACAGACGTCACTGACGGGTCCGATAATGCAATGAACGCGACTTGAACACGGCCTCGACTTAAGAGGTACCATTCTGCCCGCTAATGCATTTCTGTTTTTTTCTTCTCGTTTTTTTCAAGAAACTTTCAAATAGGGTCTCAAAGAGCCCTCGTGCCTTGATTGATTATATGGTAAGACGCTTTCAGTTGAAGCGTGCAAGAATTACCTTAGCCAGCTACCTTTCGGAGTACATGTGAACTAGTTACATTAAAGCCTACCCCAAAATCTTCGAGGTGTCTTATCGATAATGGAAGAGATAAGATAAACCCCACCACGACGGGAATTTTTTTCTCACAGTCGCCCAGACTTGGTGAATTTTGGAGAATTGGCTTTGCGCATACCGACTTGACTTCTCCTAGTCAAATAAATCTCAAATATTTTTCAAGTTGTGCAATTACTCTGCCAACTTCGACAGCCAGCGTGCATTTGAAAGCGCGCGCGCAATAAACTCAGTCACTAGTGACCTTCCGAGGAACACATTGTCTTCAAGATGTCCATGATCACAACATCAACCTGGGTGCCCCGAGGCTTCGCGGCACCCTTTCCCTCAAAATACACCTTTGACGAGTCCGAGTACGAGCGCATTGCCGAACTCGCCAAGCTGCAGCTGGATGACGCCGAAGAGGACCTAAGGGAGGCGCAGGACGAGGAGGAGGGCGCCGACAAGCCCGCCGACGACGATGCGACAACAGGCGCATCTGGCAAGAAGGCCGAACAGTTAGTATTGACTTAAACTATCCGCTCGCTGAGCGGGGTCTGCAGGATACACATGGTTCGCTAACCGTAGACCACCTTGTAGGGTCAATATCAACGACGACGATCTGAAGGAGTACGACCTCGAGCATTACGACGACACCGATGAAGAGGACGAGGAAAAGGTCGGCCAGGGCGAAGGTATGGCCATGTTTGGCAACATCAAGTCGCTAGCCTACTACGAATCCAATAAGGACGACCCGTACATCACCCTGCCCGCCAATGGTGGACCGGACGACGACGATGAGGACCGCGAGGACCTGCAGATCCTAGCGACCGACAACCTCCTGCTCGCTGCCAAGGTCGAAGATGAGATGGCTCACCTCGAGGTCTACGTCTACGAGGACGCCGCCGACAACCTCTATGTCCACCACGACATCATGCTGCCTGCGATCCCCCTTTGCGTCGAGTGGCTCGACATTCCCGTTCAAAAGGCCGGCGTTGACAAGGACTCGACGGCCAACTTCGTCGCCATCGGCACCATGGACCCCGATATCGAGGTCTGGGATCTCGACACGGTAGACTCCCTGTACCCTAACGCCATCCTCGGCCAGGCCGGTGAGGGCTCAGAAGAGAAGAAGAAGCAAAAGAAGAAGAAGAAGGCCAAGAAGGCTAACGACGAGTACCACGTCGACGCCGTCCTCGCCCTTGCCGCGAATAGGAAACACAGGAACCTGCTGGCCTCCGCCTCTGCAGATAAGACAGTGAAGCTTTGGGATTTGCACACGGCCAAGTGCGCCAAGTCATACACTTACCACACGGACAAGGTGTGCTCTCTCGCGTGGCACTCGGTCGAGTCCACCGTGTTGCTCAGTGGCAGCTACGACAGAACGGTCGTCGCCGCAGATATGAGAGCTCCCGAGGCCAAGGCCCCTAGATGGGGTGTCGAAAGCGACGTCGAGAACATTCGCTGGGACCCTCACGACCCCAACTACTTCTACGTCTCCACGGAGAACGGAATCATCCACTTCAACGATATCCGCAATGCGCCGTCAACCCCCGAGGCGACCAAGGCTGTGTGGACCTTGCAGGCACACGACGAGTCTGTCTCGTCCTTCGACATCAACCCCATCGTGCCCGGCTTCATGGCCACTGGCTCAACTGACAAGACGGTGAAGCTGTGGAACATCCAGGCTAGCGGTCCTTCCATGGTTGTCTCTCGCAACCTGGATGTTGGCAAGATCTTCTCAACGCAGTTTGCGCCCGATTCTGAGGTGGCTTTCAGACTCGCCGTTGCTGGCAGCCGCGGAACCATGCATGTGTGGGACACTAGCACCAACGCCGCCGTTCGACACGCGTTCGCTGAGCGTGTCCCGCAAAAGCCGGAGGGCGTCGAGGAAGACCGTCTTGTTGGCGTTCTTGACGATGACAGCAGCTCCAGCGAAGACGAAGGAGAGGAGGGCGAGCAGGATGGCGATTCGATGGACGAGGATGAGGACTAGGGTAGACGCTAATCAATATGGATGGTGGGCCTTTCACATGTGTTGTCAGATGTAGCCTGCTCGCTGTCTGATCCAAGATCGCCAGGGGAATTTTCCCGCAGGCTTGGCCAGATGGATCGAAACCGCAGGCCCAACTAGTCTCCGGCGCCCGCCCAGAACTTAGAAAGCCGTAGGCCACATACATCACACTGATAATGACGACTCTGGGCTGGCGCTGTTGAGAACGGCGGAGGAATTAGACAGCCTGTATCAATCAGGTGGAGAACAGCCTTTCAGTGTAGAAGTTAGTCTCGAGTCGTCCGAAGTTAAATGCCGTCGTCTGAACAGCATCAAGCATGGGCCACATTAGTTTCGTCGACACATATAGCCAAGCCCGTCAAACAATGGCCTCAAACCGGGAAAATAGTTGGTGAGGAGCACATCGTCAGAGACTGATATATGTGAAGAGGCTAAACGTGAGCGAGTGAAACCACGACTGCGTGGCCCCCAAAGGTTGTTCAGTGTTCACATCCATTGACTGCTGCGATGGGGTATCAGTGTCGTGATAGGGTGGGAGGCTCGCTAATTAAGCATGAACAAAGCGTGGAAGGGGGAGCGGCAACAGCCTGACATCTTCATGCGTAGACATGATGAAGGAGGTGGTGGATCGATATCAGATCTAGGATAAGAGCCGGGCCCGGATATTGCTCTAGGTCTGTTCGCGAATGCAATCCTTTTTTTGTTCTTCCGAATATCAAGCTCGAGCAGGGCCATGCCCACGTCAATCGTTCGAGGCATCCGTAGTGTAATGAAGAATATTACCAGCCAACGGTGCCATTTGGGCGATTTCGAAGTCGCTGAGGGATTTCTCCTGGCTTCTAGACCGAGAGTCTTTGCCTCCCGCAAGCAGCCAGGCGAGAAAAATGCAGTTCCTGATCGACTGGTTCCCACCCCACCACAAGGCGATTCCCCTGGAAGATGCGCAAGGGCAGCAGAGAGTTGTGTGGTTGCGGGGGCGGATGGGCGAGTGAAATCGCTGGGCCCAAGAGCGCAAGGAGCGCTGACTGGTGAAAGGCCATGAACGCCGACATGGATCCCTGTCCGGCTTGCGCAGGCACGCAAGGCACACGGCGCCACTGGGGTGGGATGGCGCAGGATGAAACAGTGAAACTTCAGGGGGGCCTGCCAACGGGCGAGGATGGCGGACGGAACACCCAGCCAATGACGCCTCTGTCTCCGTCTGGTTGAGCTACCACTGGGGACGGCCGGGAACCACCGGCCACGAGACCTTTCTCGGCTGTTGGGCTTTTTAGTTGACGCTGTCTTGGTTCTTGGAGGCGTCGACTCCAGTCACTGGTCCAACAGACAAGAAACCCACAACTTTACAACAGCCCAGTCCAGCCCTTCTTTTTTCCTCCGTTCAAGGCGGATCATATCACACTGTTCAGACAAGGATGATGGTGGCTTCCCGGAGAAACCTGGCAGGTTGACGATGCGCCGCGGCTCGCACATCTTGAATCGCACAATCTTCTGCCAGGATGTGAACGGTGCCGCGTGCGAATCGCTCAAAGCTGGCGGGTCGGCGTCCGTCGGGGCCCACGAGTTGATCGAGGTGCCGGTGGATTGGCGATTGTATTGATTAAGAGGTTCGGTCCCTCCTCGAATACTCCCCTGGTGATGGCGGCCGTGGTGAAAGACTTGGATAGGAACCGTCCATCCGGATAGAGCAGTACAAATGCGTGTTGGCCACGTCAAGCTTCCTGAAGAAAGGCTGTTTCCTTTTGTGTGCCGACCAAGACTTCGTTACCTGTACGCCACACAGAAGGCAATATGGCAGAGAAAATACATGGCGGTCGCAGGCCAACGCTTGTGTAGTTGGCGAAGTGCGGATACGTAAGTGGAGGCAGCAGTCGCTGCATCGGACGTAGTGTTGGTATTGAAGGCACCGGTCCGTCGACGTTGTGTGGATGTATGAAGATGCCCTAAGAGTGAAAGATCCAATGAGGCCGACAAAAGCGAGGGCAACGGTCCGGAAGAGGTGTCAAAGGAGAGCGAGTGACGCGCCGGACTGGTCTCGGCTGTGCTGGTCTGACGATGTTGGGCATTCTTTCCAGAAGGCAGATCATCGCAATCCTTGATTCCCCCTTTTGGTGGCGGCAGGATTGGGTCGACGGTCGACGGTTGTTTGAACTCTGGGCTGACGATTGGCATCGATCCATGTGCCATCCCGCCGTTCGAGTCGTGCCAGCCAAACGTTTCTTGGCGGATGGATGGGCGGCGGTTGTCACGCAGCGAGCCCGGCAGACACATGGTTGCATCCTCTTCCTAATGGATGGAGGGTCGTGGACCAAAGCCAGCACACACTCAAATCGAACAGTGGATAGCGGGCATGGATGATGGACTGAAAGGGGAGTGAGTGTGACGGAAGAGAGTGAGGTGGACGGCCAAAAAGTTGACCGTGGAATAATTGGTACGTATCCAAGGATACTCGGTGGAGAGTGGAGGA